ATATAAAAAATACAAAAATAAATTGTAAAAATTCAGCTTTAATTTCTAAATTCTTCCAATTACCTTTAATGTTCTCTAATTTTTAATCAATATATAATTACCGCTTAATTTAATCAAGTCTTTAGTTAGTTTTATTTCTTTCTATCTGAAATAATTTCTCAAGTCTCTTTTATTCTTCTTAATTTTTTGCATTAGCCATAGCTTATTCTCTTTCAAATTCCAATTATTATTCCTCTTCTAAAACCTATTAATTTAAATTAATATATATACATCTATCATTTCTTAATTTTATCTAACTTTTAATTAATCAATCTAATTTTCGTATTTATTAGACATACTAAACTTTCCTTAATTTGAAGAACCAAATTAAGTATTTGAAGAATTTGTAAATACTTTTTATTATTATGATTTTGGCCTTTTATTATGTCTCATATCTTTATTTGATAGAGTATTTTAATATTTTGCAGTTGAGGCTATTAATAATTTAAAATTATACGTCTAACATTATGATAACTGTTCTGTAAACTATTAGATGCTCGTATACTATTACCATCTTGATTTAAAGCTGAAGGATCAAGTTTCCCTAATTTTACTAATTCTAATTTTTGCATTAATTCTTATTTTTAAAATCCTATCTCTTTCTTGATCAACATTCTTTATTCTAACATTTAATTTTTCTCCATCTATAAAATTTCAGCTCTTCTCATTTTATCTTATAATTTTTATCTTTGTAATTCTTTCTCATATTCTTATAATCTCATAATTCTTTCTAAGGCTTCCTTTTTATCTTATTCCTTTAAAAGTTCTTTAACTTTTTACTCATGTTAGATTTATTATTTTTCAAATTATTTCTTAAATAATTGAATTATTGCTTACCTCATAGATTATTTATTCCTTTTCTTAAAATTTCCTAAGAAAATCATTAGTCTTTTCTTTCAATTATTACTCATTATTTTATAATACTTATTGTCTTTATAATTCTTTTTCATAAATTTATTATTTCCTAGAAATTATTTCTTATTGTTTTAATCTCTCTAATTCTTCCTTTCTTTATTCAACCTCCTATAATTTACTAAAATAATCATATTTCTTTTTTTCTTCTTGCAACTAATTCTTTTCCATAACTTCCTTAATTTTCTCTTGATGTTATAATGCTTACATTTAATTTTCATACATCTTTTACATTTTCATCTCTTCAAATTCTCTTCTTCTCTATTCAATTTTTTATTATTTTAAATCAAAAGACTAATAATACTAATTTCAAATACTTTCTTCATATTAGACAATTATTCATCTTATTTAACTCTAGCATTCATTAATTTTAGAGCCAATTCTTATTAAGCTTATTATGATTCTTAAATTCTTTGTTATCTTTAAATCTCAATAGTTTATAATCTTTCAGCCTCTTTTTGTTACATAATTAATCTTTTCTTTTGCATTTCTTCTTCATATTATTATTAAATTTATTGTGTTTATTATTAGAATTGCATTTATTTTAATCTTCTCTCTTCTTCTTTCTTTTTTGCTTCCATTTTTAAATAAATTTATTTTTCTTATTCCATTTTAGCTCTTTCTTATTCTCTTCTAAAATGTTCATTAGCTAATTATTTATTATATCTCTCTTCATCTTATTATTTCTTTTTTTTCTCTTCCTCTCTCATTTATTTTTCTTATTCCTATTACATTCTTTTTTCTTATAATTCTTATTCTCTTCTCATTTATTTTTCAATTTATATTCTTTATTTCTCCTCATTCCTCTCTCTAATTTCTTACATTCTTCTCTCATACTCTAACATTTAATCTATTTCTTTTTGTTATCGTTATTTCATCTTCTCTAATTCTTTTTTCTCTCTCTCAATTGCATTATTTTATTGATCTGACATTCTTGAATCCTTAAAGTTTTATTCATTATATTCATTTCCTTACATACCTCCTGCTTGAATAATTTATTATCTAGTCTCAATACAAGCTTCTAGTTTTTATTATCTTTTTATTTCTTGATGTTCCCAGAATTTTTACCAATCTTGTTTGTCCAGTTTCAAATCTGGTCGTCTTTATTTTAATTCTTATAAACTTATCTAAATTAATTCTTGAGGTAGGATTCCAATTAAACGACAAGCCTAAATTGATCGTGGACTTTTGTATTGAAGATATCATACCTATCAAGAATTGGATTTTTGAATTTTGTTTGATCAAAATTTTCCAAATTAATCATATATATTTTATCAAAATAAGTTTTAATTTTATTAATGAATATTTTTAAATACCTTAATTATACATTAGGAGTTATATATGTTTTGATGTAATAAACATAATTCTGTAGAAGAATAAATAAACAAATCAAAGTTATTTGTTTGAATTTTTATATCAAAAGTTCACATTTATATCTTGTTGTTATTATAATAATTTATATATCTATCACTTATTAAGAGTAATAAATTGAAAATGTTATATTTTGTTGTAATAGTTGTGTTTCCATATATACTTTAATAAATCTTAAGAAGGAATTCATATATTTATAATTTATTATGTATTTATTTATTATGATTATACTTATTCAACATAACTACAAAAAAGGAGTTAAAAAATATTATTGATAAATAAATTATATTCATAATTTTTATATGTGTTATAAAAGTATTCGTTAAGCTAAGGCGGCTGTCAATAATTTTTATTAATAAATTGTCAATGAACCTCAGTATGTAACCAAGAACTATTTCACCAACTAAATATTCACAAGTCTTAGCAAGTCAAGATTTCTCTTAACCAGGTACTGTAAAGAAAGCACATCCACTCAATAATCAATCACCTTACATTCATTCACCTGTCTAAAATAAAATGAACTTTAGCATAGTGTCAGAAGATGCAGAAAATTATCGAATCAAATGTTATGAACTTGAAAGAGAGTTGGCCAAATATAAGGCTGATAATGAACTTTAACGTCTTGTTTAGCAAAAGAGTGGTGACTTAGAGTATAAAGTAGTTGAAGTCTTAGAATCTAATAATGCTCTGTAAGGGTAATTGGAAAGAGCTTAAAAGGTAGCTTTGTAAAGAAAAAGTGAATCTGAGATGTGGAAATAAAAATATGAAGCTTAAATGGGATCACTAATGTAGATTAGATAGAATTATGAATCTGAGATAAAGGCTCTTACTTTGGAAGTATAAAAAGCTAATGCTAGAAGTAGTGCATTAGATTAAGAAAAGAATAGAATAATTTCAGATTAAAGAAATGTAGCTGATAACTAAACAACTTAAATTTAGGAAACATTCAAACGATCAAATAATTCTTAGGCTGATATGTATGAAGCATAACTCAAAAAACTTAGAGATATGCTTGAAGATAGAACATTATAAGTTGCTTAATTATAATCTTAAATTGAAAGATAAAAAGTAGAATCATAAGATACTTAATTAAGATTAATGAATGAGATAGATATAACAAAATCTAGATTAAGTGCTATTTAAATAGATCATTAAAATGAATTATTAGCATAAAAATAAAAATTGGAATTGTATCAAGAAACAAATTTAAGAAATTAATAAACAGCTCATGAGAATTAATAAGATGTTTAAGGATCAGAAATAGTGAAATTAAAGAATTTATTAGAAATTAAGACTTAAGAGATTGAAACATTAATAAATTAAAATTAAAAGTAAAAATTATAATAAGAATCTGAAATTTAATGTTTGAGAACTGAAATTGAAATGTTAAGAAGATAAATTTTAAGTAATGAATAATTACATCAATAAGAGAATCATAATATCTAAACTAATTTAGATAATATTCATAATAATGATACAACTAATCTTAAATTAACACATGAAAATTAATTATAGGCTTTACATAAAGAAATTTTAAAACTTAAAGAAATTATTGATCATAAAAATTAAGATATCTAAAAATTAGTTGTTGAAAAATAATAATAAAAGGATTATTATGATGGAGAAATCTAAAGATTGATTAATACTATTGAAGATTAAAAAAGAAAAGCTATTTTATTAGAAAATGAAAAAAATAGAGAAATTGCTGATTAACATGCTAGAATTGAAAGATTAACTATTTAATATGAGAATATGTAAATTGATCTTTAAAAATAGATATAATTATTAAATTAAGAAATAATTAATTTAAAGAATTTATTAGATCATAAAAATTAAGAAATTTAATAAAATCTTAAGAATTATTCTTAAATTAAATTAGAATTTGAAGATAAATTAAGAAATTTATAAAATGAATTAGAACTTGTTAAACTTAGAGCATTTGAAACTGAAAAATCAAAACTTTAAGAAATTTAAGATTTAAAATAACTTATTAAAGAAATAGATACATAAAATAGAGAAAAATAAAAATAATTAGAATAATAAATAGATCATTAAAAATATGAAATACAAAAAACATTTGATATGTATAATAATAAAATAAAAGAATGTGAAAATTTAACAATATAAAGAAATAATGCTGAACTCATTTAAAAACGTATTTAAGATGATAATGATAAATTGATAGAAAAATTACATCATTTTGAATAAGAGAAGAATTTAGAAATAGATGAATTAAGACATAAAATGGATTCAGGTGCTGCTTATTAATTTGAGAATCTAAAGAGTGCTTATAATACATAAGTAGGATTATTATCAGATCAAATAGCTGATCTTTAAAATTAATTAGCAATTAAGAATAAAGAATTGACTGAAATGTTTGAGAAATATACAATATTGGATAAGAGTCTATTACCTGAAACATTAGTATCTAGAGCTGCTTACAATAGTAGAATTGGAGTTCCAGCTGAATTATTAGCCAATAAGTCTATCCATGATGCTACACTTAAATCCTAATTACGAAATAGTCCAATTTAAAGATATTGATATTATAATATAACTATATGTATAAATCTAATTTTCTATTATTTAATTATGTTAACAATAGTTTTATTATACCTGAGGAGAATTTTGTGAATAAAAGTCAATATAATTTATATATAAAAATATTGTCATCAATTATGATTCATCCCCTCTTTTAAATTCCTGTTGATTATCAAACAGCTTATTAATTTGAGAATGATATCATGCCTAAAAATTAAATGATAGAATATGCTATGAATTAGAATCTCAATGATTTTCCAATTTATCCACAATTCTAATACCCTCAATAAGTAATTAATTACGATATTGTTGTTGATCAGAAATCATAAAACAAAACCAAGAAATCAAAAAAACAAAAGTATTGTTCTAATATTATAAAAGAGATGATTAAAAAGAATTGCTTCCTAAAACTAAAGCTTAATAAGAAGAACCTCAAAAGGAGGATTTGTATTTTATATCCTTTAGCACTTTAGTATGAAACCAGTAGTCTAACCATAATATTCTCTTGTACATTTTACATAGGGTACCTTATTACCTAAATTACAATCTGATATTGTAACTAATAGTTCTCCTGTGGGTACAAAATAGACTTTAAAATCCAATAAACATCATTAAACAAAAAAGCCTAAAAAAGAGAACATCAATACAGGTCATTGGTCAGCAATTGAACATACAACATATGTTAATTTCTTATCATAATATGAAAACATAATGAATTCTTCAATGATGAAAAAAACATCAAAAATATTTAAATAAATGAGTGAATTAATTGGAACACGCACTCCAAGTTAATGTAGAAGTCATCATTAAAAATTTAATCCATATGCTCATAGAGGAGAAAATGGAAAAAGATTACCAAGAAATGAGAGAAGTAGAGCAGGACGCAAAAAGAAAAGTTAATTTTTAGAGATTACTAAAGATGGTAATAATAATATTATATTAAATTAGAATAATTAGTTGAGTAAGATCCATATTATATGATGTTTGATAAATAGTTTTATTATCATCCATATGTTGCTAATGGAATTGAATATTAATAATTTCCTAATGATATGAATCTTAAAAGAGAGGATATTCATGAATATATTAATCAAGTTTAACAATAGGACTATGAAGATTATCTAAAAATTAGACCAGATTATAATAATTAGTTAGATTATTGATTATATAATTATCTTTAATTATTTAATGATTGCCTTAGAGCATTGTTAATAGCTATTAGAGCTATATATCCTTAAATATAGTGTCCCTGATTAGATTAATATACATGATAATGAACCAGTATTTAAGAATTTAAACTAAAGTAAACTCCAGTTTTTGATAGACACACAACTCAACATATTTAATCGGTGTTATGGAAACGTTAATCAATCAAATTAAATGAGAGTTCATCCTAATAAGAATTAGAAATATAAAAAAATTATGGTCTATTTGAAACTTATGAACCAAAACCATATCTTCTTCTTGTTGATAGAGATAAATCTGATGATAAATATAGATTAGAAGCCTTGAAGAAGAAGAAAGATAAAAAAAATGCTAAATTTAGAGATCAAAATTTACCATATAATGAATATATTCATCCTGCAAGATAAATCTAAGTTAAATTATTGTTATCTAAAAAACCATTAAAAGATTATTAAACATATGATTCTGATGGTAGTATTATGAGAAAGAGAGAATAAGTTAAATAATTAAGTCCTATAGTTAATACAATCAAAAGTAAATTATAAGGAAGAGTTGATAAAATAAAATCAGAAGCTGTTGCTGAAGAAAATATTATTAATTAATAAGCTTTGTTTAAATTAAAGGTATCTACTAAAGTTAAAACATAATATGATGAACCATATAATTTTGAAGCATTCCCTTTAAAACCAAGAGTTAAATTAACATTTACATAAGAAAAAAAGAAAAAAGAAGAAGAAAAAGTAAATAATGATGAAGAAGATTTAACTGATGCTGATGCTTATTAACTCTAAAAGTTTATAAAAAAACAAAGTTTTACAGCACTACCTTTATTTAAATTACCTAAAAAAAAACATAATACACCTCATGAAAGATCATTCCGTACAATTAGATAAAGTAAAGGATTTGATTACTTTTGATATTTCAATAGTTATTAATAATAAATCATCAAAAAATAATATCTATTCACATTTATTATTATTCTATACATTAATAATAATTATGATATATAAATTAAATACATAAATTTAAATTTCTGTATTCAACTAATATGAAAATTGTTTAATTAATTTGGAAATATAAATTAATTAAAAATAATAATAATTAAATAACTAAATAAGTTTATAAGTGAATAAGAATTGAATCTTTTTCAAAACTAATTTGTTAAAATAGTTATTCTAAATTAGACTTATAAGTTTAATAATTAATATTTAATTCTATAAGTTTGAAGACTTCTCAAATATAAAAGAAAATCGAAATTCTTATGGACAATAAATAATATTCTTAAAATTATGTTATTATTATATTATGATATTAATACTCAATTAATTTAATATGCTTAATTGAGGATACCACAAGTGTTTCCTGGTGATAATCTGATGATTCCATTTTCTCCCCAACCATAACCCCAAGAATTCTAGAGTATCCAATTATATCCAAAATCAAATCCAACAGCTAAAACATAATGATTAATATTTTATCCACAGTCAGAAAAAGTACCATTATTGTAAAATTACCAATTCTAAGCATCAACACCGACTGAAACAGGATAATTTTATATATAATGTTACAAGGTTTATTACTCACGTCCTACAAACTAATAATTATTGATTCTATAATCTCCTCTATTGTATCTACATCCTTATTATTATCCAATATATGGATAACTCATAGAGTTCATCAATCCAACTTATTAAGCATAATGCATAGCATTATAATTGGTTCCTTGATAACAACCTTTTGAATAGACATCACAATCAATTAATTATTAAGCTGAGGCTGTAATATTTCTTCCTCCTCTTATACCATACCAAGCTTCAATGGAATTACTGACAGAAAAAGCCCAACCTGATCCACATTATCCTTATGACTTAATTGTGGTATAGGAACTCCAATCAACAAATTTAAGTGGTTCCTAAGTATCAAAAATTTCTTCTATTTGTTCTTATTATTCTAATTTTGGAGCATCCACCTAAGTTAAATATAATGAAATAAATTCATCTTAAGTCAATGCCATAAATTGATTTTCTCCCATATCATAAGTTCTGGTCTCATCTTTATTGTGATTTTCAATCTTTTGCTTATTAGCTTGATAAACAGCTTCTCTATAGATTCTTTCTTCACCAATATAAATCTTCTAATGCTTTAATTACCAAATATCAAACTCATTGATTGTTTAGGATGGTGTTTGATAGTAATTTGTTAGCAAAAGAAGTGAAATAGCTGCTGTTGTTAAGATTGATCGAATCATAAATATAATATAATGATCTGTGATTTTAGAATATCATTAAGAATTACAAAATATAGAATATCTTACGTATGAGTTAGAATTAGTACGATCAATTTAATTCTATAAAAATAATGTGCATTAAAATTGTAAGTTAAATTTACACTTAGTCTTGCAAGAATAACAATTTTAGAGTAAATTTAAAATTGTATTTGCAATTTTAAATTGTATTGGATTGTCATATATATCAATATTCTGTCATGTATATTAGAGTACACTATTAAAAAGGACATAAATATAGAAGTGAACTAATGTAATAAAAATAACATATTAATTTTCTCTCTAAAAATAGAAAAGAAGAAAAAAAGTTCAAAATTTTGAGTTAAAATTCATGTCAGTTCATATTTAATTAGTCAAAAATGAAGATTAAAAAGAAGAAATAATATGAACTGTTTGTTTTCACAAAATAATTTGTATTAAAAATTTAATTATTTAATAAAAATTTACTAAAATTATTAATCATGTATATATATTAATCATGAGTACTAAATATAAATGATGTCTTTTTTAGGATTTATATTTCATCTAGATTTAACTATAATTTTTATGATAGAGTTTTTTTAATTATTTGCTATATAGCTGAATTGCATTTGGGGTTTTAATAATAAATAATTCTGAAATAGATGGTATCTTAATCATTTTTGTAATTCTTGTTAGCCTATATATGTGTGGAACAATTAAGAGGTTTATTAATTATCAATATCTATAGGTCTTGCATTATTACCTGAAGAAACTTAAAAACCAGAGACCATTAACTTGTATTCTGTGTCTACCAGTTAATTTATGGAAACTTCAAATCTAGAGGGTTCTACTTAAGGAGGAACAAGCTTATACTTGAAAGTAATAATAATTGTATCTTTAGGCTATAGGTTTTGATTCTATAATAACCAACAACATAATTTTTATAGGCAAATACCCTTGTATCATAGATGAAACATTTGTTAAAGAGTAAGAATTGTCATGTAAAACTACTGCACCCTTGCTTAATGACAATTCACTATAGAATCTTCTAGTGACTGTAGAGGCATCTGATAATAAGAAATCAGTATGTACGTCCTTAACAAATAAATGCCTTTTTTCATATAAAAAACAAAAATCTCCATATTTACATTACTTAATTCCTTCTATTGGATTTGCAAATTCTGTCTTGTCTACTAAAGGAGAGTGGACATTGATAGGTGAAGAACATAATGAAATTGAGAAAATTCTTATTGGACAGAAATCATGTGTAAAAAATCAATACAGATTATTGAATACCCAAATATAAAAGGATGAAGATGTAATATCCTGTAAATTGGCAGAAGACCTAATTTCATAAACTTATTAAATTAATGTAGGTACAAGAAGAGGATACATCTTATCTTAAAAAAGCTTTAAGTAAAAATAATGTTTTTATAAAAAGAATGCTTCCATTAATATCTTCTTTATAATGGTCATATGAAACAAATGAGTCATTTATATTAAATATAAATGGATATGGATTTAAGAGTGGTTTGACTGATAATATTGTGAAAATTTCAGGAACTGATGTTTCAATAACAGTGTTAGAAGTATCCACAAATTAATTAAAAGTAAATAAAGTAAATTAAATTATTTAAGGTCTAAATACCAAAAATAACAGATTAAATAATATTAGATTCATTGTATGGAAGTGACTCAGTATTCATTTCTGGAACTGGATTATTTTATACTAAATATGATTTTAGAGGATTAACAAATTAATATACTAATTGTGATGTTTTTAGAAATGACATATTATCAGATTCTTAAGACTTAAAAGCTAGAATAATTTAAAATGGTGTTTATTCATAACCAGATTATATTGATGAAGTTGAATCTTAATATGGATAATATTTTAGAGGTTTTTTTAAAGCAACATAATCTGGAGAATATTAATTTTTATTAGCAGCTGATGACTATGCTACATTTTATATTCAAACTACTGAAACACTCAAACCAATTCATGCTGATTCTCCAGCTGCTTCATCATCATAATCTACTTAATATAGAAATTATTATGGTGAATAACTATGGGATAATTAAAAAGTTGTTAATTCAATTTCATAAATAATCAATTTAGAAGAGAATAAATATTATTATATTGAAATCTTTCATATTAATACTGTAGGCAAAGGATTTTTAACTCTATCTATGAATGCCAACATTAATGAGTTGTAAGCACCAAATACAAGATCAAGTTAATTATTTTAAGTAAAAACATCCTACACACCTTAAAATGAAATCTAAGAAATTAATATCTATAATTCATAAGAAAATGTATTATTGTTAGATACTTTTAAATTAAAATTTAAGGACTCTAACCATAAATAATTATCCTTTATTACTTAAGATATAACTCTTAACTTTAATAGTGATTAAATTTAAAAAGCTCTTTTAGATTGTTGTAATTATTTGACATTAGTAAAAATAAATAAATTAGATTATTCTGGATAAGTTTTAGATGATGCTTCTGAAATATATGCTGGTCATTAATATATAATAACATATCTTTCTCATAGAGGATAGATAGAAGATCGTTATATCCCTGAATTAATTTCAATATAGGAATAATATATTTTTAATGTTCGCACTATTCAAGAACCATTAGATCCTATTTCAGGATCTTTCAAATTATCATTAATATAGCAATCCAACATATTTATAGATTAAAATAACAACTAAGAATTATCCTTTGATGTTGATCCTAGTATTTTGGCTGATAATTTTTATAGAATAATAGGTGAAAAACCAATAGTTTGGACTGAGGGAAGACCATAGGATGGATAGATCTGGAATATATTATTTACATCTTGTTCAAATACTATACAAAATTTCAAATCCGAATAAAATAATTTATAGTCTGGAAATGGAAATGTTAATTTGGAAGTCTTAAATATAAAAACTTGTAATCCTTCTTTGTATGAACCTATACCAGCACTTAAACTATTCACATATGGTACTAAACCCTAAGTTTAAGTGTCTACATCTGAAGGATAAGGAGCTTGTGAATAAGAGGGTGTTTGTGATTTTAGTTTTGAGTAGACAAAATTATTCATTTTGTAATCATATAGTGTAAGCAATGAATTTATGGCTCTGAGTTTTTCTATTCTATCATAAGAGCAATTAAATTTGGTAGCTAATGATTTTACTATTGATTTTAGAGGTGCTGTCTGTATAGATATTAAGATTGTATCAAATGATTCAAATTTATTAAAATTAATTTGTACTCTTGAGACTCAGAACACTGAAGTAATAGCAGAGGTTGGTACTAATTAATATCCAATAATCTTTAACAAACTTTATGGATACATCAAAAGAGATACAAGTGTGATTGCTGCTTAAACATTACTAGAATTCAATTCTATTGTTCCTAATACTGCCTCTCCTGATGGAGGAGCTGAAATAACTATATTAGGGATTGGATTTCCTAAAGATTTATCTAGAAAATTTGTACTAAAAATGGGAAACACTTAGATTAACCCTTTGACAATAAGTAATAAAAAGATTGTATTTATACATCCATCAGGAACTGATGGTACTATAACAATTTAATTTAATGGTAATACTTTTAGTGATAATTCATTTACTTATGATGCAGCATATAAATTAACTATAACAAAGTTAAGTTCTAATATAATATCCCCTTTTTTCAGGGATACTTTATAAGTAACAGGAACTAATTTTGGAACAGTATTACAGGATATCAAAGCATTTATTTAGAATAAAGAAATTTAAGTAGTTGATGTACAAGATTTATTATTGACAGTGCGAGTAAATGTTTTGTTAGATTCATCTTTATCTTAAATAATAATTTAAAGAAGACAATATGGATAAATATAAACACCAATTACAGTTGGCTTATAAATAACTCATATTACTCCTAATTCATCCACAATTAGAATTAATTAATTTGGTAGTTATCTTGTAAAAGTTTCAGGATCAAACTTTCTAAATGGTCCTAGTATCATTACATTTAATTCTGTAAACCCTTAAACTTGTGAATTAACATAGAGAAATGCAACATATATAATATGTAAAAGTCCACCTAAGATATTGGATGTACAATCTGGAGTATTTCGTCTCATTTAGAATTTTAAGCATGTAATAACTTGTACATAATGCAAATATGAATATTTACCATTTCCAGAAATTGTAAGTGTTAAAATTGGTGATATTACTATTAATAATTTAAAATATTCACCAAAATAGCTAATGTTTTGGTCTGAAGAGGCCAAGATATAAAAAACCCATCCTTTATTGTTTTACAAATAATCACAATTTATTGATTCACTATTATCATATGATTAAATTTGGACTTAAACAATACTGAATTCTACTCCCGGATAAGTTTTATAATTGTAATGTTAACTCTCTGCAACAGCCTAATTAGATGTTTTTAGTGCTAAAATTGCAACTACAAAACTATCCTTCACTTAAGATGGTTAAACTAAATATTCTGTCAAAACTTAATCATCTGGTTAACTCATTTTAATTACTTTTCCACAATTGACTTAAGGATTACATTTAACATAACCATAATTTTTCTATGCCACTCTTATATTTTGGTATACAAGATTTGGTTTGGAAATCACATCTGTAACTGATGCAACAATTAGTGGAGGTAAAATAATAATTAATGGGTATGGTTTTAATGAACTTTACTTAAAAAATATTTAAGTTGAAGATAAAGAATGTAAAGAAATAAAAGTTATAAGTTCAGTAGAAATATCATGTTTTTTAAAAACAAAACTAATAGCTGGTTAAAATACACTTACACTAAATTAATTTGATTAAGAAAACTAAGATACATTATTAACCAGAACTTTTGCAATCAATATTAAAGAAGATACTATATCTCCATAAGTAAATACAATATTAGTTGATGGAATAGATAAATTAGATGCTACTAGGAATTCAATAGTGTATAATCCTGGAACTTTTAAATTGAAAATTGAAGGAATAAATTTATTAGGATAAGAAGTAGTAGTTTAACTATTAACTAATACAGAAATAATAATTGGAATAAAGACTTCAACAACCTAGACTTAAACATTAATTGAATATGAATTTTCAAGCATTCCAATAGGAATTTATTTGATAGAAATAAGAGTTGGTAATTATTATGCATCTTTTGTAAATTAAGATTATTCAAATTTAATTGTGGAATAATCTCAAGCACCAACATTAAGTAATCCTTTTATTTCTAGAGATGGAATTATTTTTAATATAAATGGTAATGGATTTTCATCTAATCTTTTATCTAATCTAGTTTAATTTTGTGATTTACCATGCAAAGTGATGTCATCTAGTTTTAATAGTTTAGAAGTTTTAGCTCCTATGTTATTTACATCGTAATTAATTTAATCTATACCATATTCCAAAATTCCTCTTAAAGAGTTAATTATATCAGGAGATAGAATGGAATTAGTTTAAAATATATATGATGAAACAATATCAACAGACTACTCATCTGATTCATAAACTTAATGTTTCATATAATTTAATCTTTAAACATAATTTGCATATTTAAAACTTGCTAAGTTAAGATTCTAACCAAAATTAGGATTTTAGTATAACAAATTAAAAACAATTAAAATTTAGTATACTATAGATGGTTAAAATTGGATATAATTAGAAAAATTAAAATATATAAATGAAGGTTGGAATGTTTTAATACCTGAAATATAAATAGATAAGATTAATTCAATTAAATTTATAGATGATTAAGGTATTGAAGGTTCTTAATGTTCATTTTCAGAAATTGAATTATATGGTTGGATACATTTTAATGAAAATAATCTAAAGAATTGTCAAGTTGATATTAATGTGAATGGTTTTTAATTTAATAGTATATCTAATGCAGAGACATTCTTATATCAATATTAACCAATAGTAGAATCAGTTGTACCTAGATATGGATCTGTGAATACAGAAACTGAAATAACTATTAAGGGTAATGGATTTATTAAGGATTAAACTATTGTAACTATAGATAATATCTAATGTGTTTTAGTTAGTGTAACTACTACTGAAATTACTTGTAAAACAGGAATCAAAACTGTGTTGACAGAGAATAGTGGATTTGTTGTTTAAGTATAAAAAGCTTAAGCTCTTATTAAATAATAGTTTATGTATATTTAAAAATGGTCAGATGTTTCAACTTGGGAATTTTAAATACCATAAGATGAAGATTCTATTCTGATTAAAAATTATTAAAAAGTATTATTAGATGTCAATACAGTACTTCTTAATAGACTTGTAATTGAAGGAAAATTAATATTTGCTGATGAATAAGATATCAAAATGATTGCAAATTAAATTATTATAAGAGAAGGTGCTTTAATTATTGGATCTCAAGATTAACCTTATTAACATTAGGTTATTATTATATTACGTGGAGAAGAGACTGATATTTAATTCCCATTAATAGGTAACAAAGTTATAGGATGTGTAAAGTGTTAAATTCAAATGTTTGGAAGAAAAAGAATTTCATCTTGGAGTTTATTAGATTAAAAAGTATTAAAAGGAGAAAGCATCATAAAATTAAGTACAACTGTGGATTGGAATGTTGGTGAATAGATAGTAATTGCAACTAGTAGTTCTAATATTGAAGAGAACGAAATTAGAATCATCAAATCTATTAGTACTGATAAAAAAAGCATTACTTTAGATTAATTACTTATTTATACCCATTTATCAGAAGGATAATATAAAACTGAAGTTGGTTTGTTATCAAGAAACATTTAGATTTAAGCAGAATAATAAAATGGTTATGGTGTTCATATTCATATTAATGGAAAACAAAATTAAGGAACAATTGTAAGAATATCAAATGTTGAAATTAAAAATGGTGGATAAACTAATATAGTTGGAAGATATCCAATACACTTTTACAATAATGAGGAAATGGATTAATCACTAATCGAAGATAATTCTATTTACAATAGTAATTCAAGATGCATTGTGTTAAATAATGTTAAATATTTAAGAATAATTAATAATGTATGTTATAATATCATAGGAAATGCTATTCATTTGGTTAGTGTTACAGATATTAATAATAGAATTGAATCTAATTTAGTTATTAAAGTAAAATCAAACTAATTTATTGATAATTCTTGTTCTTTCTTTAATTTCCAATCCAAAAATAATTAATTATTAGATATTGATAGATAATCATCAGCATTTTACATTTCAAATCCATTTAATACTATTATTAACAATAGAGCAATAGCAAGTGATTATATTGGATTCAATATATTTATTAATAGAATCAATAATCATAATCATTAAATAGTTGAATCTCTAGGATGGGATGTACTTAATATCCAAAACAATTTTATTCATTCTATTGTAGGTCATGGAATTCAACTCACTATTTTATTAGAAACACAATAGCAATAATCAGCCAATTAATATAATGAAGCATCTATTCTTAAATTATTTTCTATTTGGTAAAATACATATAATGATTTCAATCTTTTAATAAAAACATAAACTGAAATAATTGAATAGTAATTCAATTTCCCTAATTCAGAAACTGTAGATTTAAGTATAATTAGCTATTCTAATTTTGCAACTTTATTAAATCCTTTGATATTTAAGTTTAAATATTCATTAAATAATGAGAATTTTCTTGTCAACAGATTTAGAGATAAAGAATTTAAATCATTACTAGAAATCCCTAATGAATAAAATTGTTAAATGGGTGATTGGTATAATGATTAAGTTACTAAATCTTTATATTTTTGCATTTTAGGATAATAAAAAATGCATAGATTACCTATTAAAATAAAGGGAAAGATATGTATAGAGCTAGAATAATGTAACATTGCAACTGATAATTCAGAATGTCCTAAAATATTATTAGATGAATAAAATGATGATTAATCTTAAGATACTAATGAAGGTTAAGATAATACTAATATTGAAGACAATGATAATACTAATGATGGTAATGATAATACTAACACTGATAGTAATACTAATACTGATGGTAATACTAATACTGATGGTAATGATGATAATACGAATACTGATGGTAACAATAATAATGATGATAATACTAATACTGATAATAATACTGATGATAATACTAATAATAATTAAGGATATATGTATAATTGGTCCTCTCCTTTAGCATGGAAACCATATCAAATTCCAAAACGTGGTGAAAAAGTTACAATAAAAAAAGGCTATTAGATAATTTTAGATATAGATCCACCAGAATTAGATGAATTGATAATTGATGGATAATTAATATTTGATGAAAAAAGATAAGAGTCAGTTTTATAAAGCAGTTCAATTATTATTAATTAAGGTTAAATTATTGCAGGAAATAAAGAATAACCATATAAAAGCAAGATTACTATTATATCAAATAATATTTAAGTTTTTAATAGATTTGATTTATATTCCATTATTCCTTAGACATTTAATACTAGATTAGTCATAAGTTCTTAAGCTGGTTCTAATAACATTGAAGTATAGGAATGTTTAGATTGGTAAATTGGAGATAAAATAGTACTAGGACCCTCAGGAACTAAATGGGATAATAATGAAGAAAAAACTATTTTGAATAAATCAGGTTGTATTTTAACTTTAGATTCTCCATTGAAGTATGATTATTATGGAGATAAATCAATTACAATAATAAAAAATAATATAGGTTAACTTGATATGAGAACTTTGGTGGTTCATTTAAGTAGAAAAATTAAAATAGAGAATCTTAATTAAGGAGGAACTATTTAAATAGTTCATGGTTTAATAGAAAATGATATATATATTGGTTTAATAAGATTTTAAGGAGTAGAGATAGTTAACTTTGGTTAATCAGATAAAGCAGGGTTAATATTTGAGAATTTATTGATATCATAAACAAGCAGTATTGTTGGATGTAGTTTTCATGAAAGTAAAGGAAAATTTTTGAGGATTTCAAATAGTAATATGATTTCTGTTTTAAATAATGTATTTTATTCAGGAGTTCAAGTTTTAGTTGAAATAGTGGAGTAAAAATATTTGTAATTTAAAAATAATATATTGATTTATGTGAAAAGAACAATTACAAGTGATTGGGCAGTATTGGCAAATTTCATGTTTTCCTAGAATGATATAAATATTTCAAGATAAAATGTAGATATTTCAGGGAATATTGGTTAAGGTTCAGAAGATGCAGGATTCTATATAGTTTCTATTTCATGCAATGAAATAAATCAAGCTAATATTTATAATAATGTTTGTTCTTCAGCATAGAATGCTTGTTTTGCTGTTGTCCAAAGTAGTAGTGTTTGTGATGCTATTTCTTATCTTTATGCTTATCATAGCAAAATTGGGATAATGTTTTCAGTAAATTCAAAATAATTAGAAATGAAGAATTTTATAACAGCTGAGAATAAAATAAATATAATTTTGAAGGGAACATCATAAATTGAATGGAATAATATAATGAAAATTAATGATGGATATATTACAGCTGTTGCTCGTCCTAATTGTATTCAATGTTATGATAATATTGATAATAACTATTGTTCTTCTACTTTGGGAATGTAATTAGCAACTATTTCTTCTTAATCATTACTTCCTAATTCATATAATTTATTATCAGATTAATTTGATTAGATAAGTTCTAAACAAGTAATTGATTTAAGAGTTTTAATTACTAATTTAGAATTCAATTAATTTAAAGTAAATAATAATTAAGTTCAAAATTGTGTTGAAAATGCAGTATTCAGATAACACCCTTATGCTATTGATATGACTGGTAGTCATTATTTAAAATAAACAAAATGCACAGAATGTGAATTTGAATCATTATTATATAAATTAAGAGATTCAGATTTTAATAAAATAGGAATATAGGGTGGATGTGGTTCTATGGAATGTACAGGTTAAAAGAATGTATTAGTTGAAGATTTAACAGGAGATTTCTTTGGAGAAATAGGATAAGGTATATCTAATAATACAGAATTTGGATAGAATGTTTAATATTGTAAAAGAATTGAGTAATGGAATGGTTATTGGTGTCCAGGTAGAAATATTTAAGTATTATATTTTATGAGTACTGCTCCAGATGCAAATACTCGTTTATTTTCTCCTGTTTTGTTATCTGATGGAACTTTTAAAAATATTATTAATAGTTGTTATGAATGGAATTGGTTATATAATAAACCATAAATGACAAGAGAATCCAAATTTATAAGTTTAATATCATCAAATTCTACTATCATTTTAAATACAACAGGAACATAACCTACTGCATCGAAATTTTGGTTATCCAAAAAATTTGATGATGAAGGATAGGATTATGCTATCATTTCTATTAAATTTGATTATCCATTGATACCAAGAGTGTTTAAAAATGGTGTTTTTATTCCTCGAAAAAAAATTATAGATAATGAATGTGGATCTTATATATATTCAAGAGATGAAAATTAACTTGAATTTTTAGTGAATTCATAACCGGATTGTTAAGTAGATGTTCTGTAGTTCAATTATCTTGCAGTAGCATAATAATTAATAGCAAAAAGCAGTCTTGATTGTATACATTTTTTATCGAGGATATCCTATATTTTCTCATTGTAAATTTCTAATTTTGATTGTTATTAGAGAAATCCTAAAAGAAGAAGACTATAAGAATCTGATATAATTGAAATTACATTTAACTGGGTCATTATTGACGAAGCTTAACCAGGAACAGAAGCAGCTTATGGATCCGAAGAGAGATTATAATAATATATTGATAAAGTATCTCAATTAACTCCAGATCCTGATTTTGGAATATATGAAATTCTTTCTTTATCTTTTGAAAAACATATTCTAACTGAATTAAACTTTCCAAGTTCTGAACCAACCTAATGTAAATATTATACTTAAATTTTAGTACCGGATTAATAAGTAGAATCTAATCCTGAAAGCGTAAATTAAGAAACAAATAATGAAAAAGCCATTATTTCAAAAAATACTGAAACTTCTGATAACAATGATTAAAATCAAGATTATACTTTAATAATTGTTCTGTCGATTACAATTCCATTAGTGTTCATCATTGCTATATCAATCTTTTGCATAAGAAGATTTAGATAACGCAAAAGTTAAGTTGTAATTCCGATTGGTCAAATTTAAAAGGATGATACTACAAATAATAAATTACCTGAGACTACTTTTATGTAAAGATCAGCTTTCAAAACACCTAAAGCAGAATATATGGAGAAAATAGAATTTGTTACAAAAATATGAATAAATAGATATTTTCATATAAAGAATGAATAATATATATTAAAAAATTAATATTTATCTTTTAAATGTATAATAACACTCAATATATTTGGAAAGCATAATTTAAGATTCCACATGTGTTTTAAGGATACAATTTGATGACTCCATAATCACCCCATTAAGTTCCCCAAGAATTTTAAACAATCCAATTGTTAGCACTGTCAAAACCAACAGCCAAAGCATAATGATTAGTTCCATTAGATGTACAATTTGAGAATATTCCTGATTTATAAAATTACCAATTGCTAGCATCAACACCTACAGATATTGGATAATTATTGAGGTAATATTATACATTTGATTAAGATCCTCCAACAAATGAATAACCATTAATGAAATAAGTACCATTTCTTGTTTATTTACAAGTTTAGTTTTTGGCAACATATGGATAATTTGAAGTGTTTGCTAATCCTACTCTTTGAACATATTCCATAGCATAAGCATTATAACCTCCAGAACATCCAGAAGAATTAAAATCACAATCAACAATTTATTATGTTGATGCATTTATTTTTTAATATGCTCTTATTTAATACCAAGCTTCTAAAGAGTTACTGACAGAAAATGCCCATCCAGAAGCACATGATCCTTACTCTTTGACTGTAGTGGCATTTCTCCAATCAACAGCAGTTAATCCTTCAAGTTATCCTTCAGGTAATTATACTTCCATATGATCAACAAAGAATTCAGTCTTTTATAAATAAAGATCAACAAATTCTTCATGAGTGAGAGTCATAAATTAATTTTCACCCATTTAATAAGTGACATCCTCTCTTTAGTTATGTTCTTCAATCATTCTTTTGTTGGAATTGTATATTTCCATTCTGTACAATTTTTCGCTTTCTGTATAATATTTGTTATTTTTCATTGCCCAAATATCAAATTCTGATTTATTTTCATCTTAAAGATGATAATAACCTGCTGTCATTAACAAAGTTACAATAGCTGCTGTTAAGAATTATTTCATAAGAATTATTATTATTTATTATTTTAGTAATTTTTTATTAAAAATATAAATTATTCACATATGGAATATCTTATTTATTCTATAATTATATATTAATTTTCTTTTATAAACAAAAATGAATACCTAGGTTTAAGTAAATATTTAGATTCATCAATCCATATCACTAAAATCTTTAAATGTATTATTCGAATATTAGAAAATGGAAATTAAGAATCTTGTATTTATATTGAAATTACTTATATTTAGATATCAAATTATAATTCAAATTTTTTCTTATGAAAATAAAAAAAAACATATATGATTGTCAAAAGTAAAATACTTAACTTATATTCTATCATTCTAACACTACCATAAATAATATTATTAAATTATGAATTACATATTAAATAATAAGGTTGATTGTTATAAATTATTTGACACTATATACTATTAATTAAAATAATATAAATCTATAAAATTAAGAATTACTAGAAGATTCAAACTCTTTATTTTTTTATATATATTTATTTAATATATATATATAAATCAAAATCTTGTTGTTTCATAAATAATCAAACATTTGATTTTTCGAGTCTTTAAGGCTTTGTTTGATTTATTGACTTAGATTAAAAAATGTCTCTTGATAAATAAACTATATTTTTATTTTATTCTCCAATAAACATTTTAGAATAACTAAGTCTTCATTAATGTTGTGTAGATTTATGGGGTTAAAACAGAATAATTTCTATCTCAAAATTGAAAGGAATCACAATTTTGAATAAGAGATCGAAAATATAAAGACTTTTTTTCTACAATGGATTTCTTGAATCTCTCTATAATATTTATAAAAGTACTTTAATTAGCCATCTAGTTTAACTTTTTAAGTATTATTAGCCAAAGGAAATGTAGATTTATTGATACTTATTAATTATGATGATTTATATATTTAAATTATATATCTAATTAAATATATATATAGATTATTGTAATAAAACTTCAATAGGGTTCCATTTAGGTTAAGGTTGGATCCTGATGATATTTAAAGGCTGCCTTGTAAACTTTATTAAAGTCTAGTTTCTTATTTAAAAATTATTAAAACAAGTCTTCTCCAAGTTTCTCTTTAATGAAATTTTATCTTTTAGTTAAATCTTCATATATCTTAAAGTAATAAGTAGAATATATACATCATTAATTAATGTTATTTTAGAGACAGTTGGTTGTTCAGAGTTAATTTTAAGTTTACATGATTTTAATTTTTATCTAATATTTTTAATGCTAATCTAAAATTTAACAAATATTAAATACATTATAATCTAAGAGTGCAAGTTATAATTTATTTTTTTGTTTTTCTTTGTCTGAATTTTATTTGACTTATGAATCTCTTTTCTCAATCAACATTTATATAGTTTCATTATCTTAAACTTTTCCTTGAATAAATTAAATCGTTTTTACACGTTCTTTTTTATGTTCATTTGAATTAGCATTTTTAAAGGTCTTTTAGTATAAATATTTAATTTACATTTAAATACATTTTTTATTTTTGTTTTTTAAGATTTAAATCACTTAATAGATCTTCTTAAAATGATATTTTTGCTTCAAGAGATGTTTTAATTTCTAATTAATTTAAAAATTCAACAAAACTTGATTATTAGGAATAATCAGGATTTTCAACCTTGAAATTATATAAAAGATAAATAATTACTTCTATGTATTAACTAACATGAACCATTGTTTATCTAAGAACTTCAAGCTTATCAGAGATTGCTCTGCTATTTTTTTCTAGTTAAATTCTTTTCACTCTTTATTATTCTTTATCTTCATTTTAAGCATATTATTATTAGAGTTTTTACATTTTTTATTTTGATTATTATTGTATAATCGAATCTGATTATTAAAAGAAATGATCAAAATCTTCTTTCTATCTAACAGTTCTATTGATTTAATCAATCATTTATTTAGAATAATTCATATTGTTATTAAAAGCATCTACATATTAAATATGTATTGTATGAATTTATTTAATTTCTGCTTCCATTTTACTAATTTCTTATTTCTCATATTTAATCAATTTATTTAAATTACATTACAAATAATTCAAATCTCTAATCCATTCTTCATTATAGGATCTATTATCACCACTTATTTTAATAATAATTCTTAATCTACTATCTTAAACCATACTCAATAAATAGTCATGTTCAGCTTCCTCCCTTAATTTTTTGAGAGTTTCAATCTTAAAAGAATAAAATCAATAGAATTTACTTTTTCTTAAATTTAGGAAACAGTATCTACATCTGTTCCAAAACCCTCATTATGCTATAATGTTCTTAAACTAGCTAATTTCTTTGTAGCAGCTTGACTAAATTTAAATTTAATAAAATTACTTTTAATAAATAATATTATCAAGTTCTCTTTTTAAATCCTTTGATTATTATAACATTATATAAAGTTCTTTGCCATTATGAAGTGAAATTTCACTTTTTAATCTAGGTAAAATAGATTAAGAAGATTTATTAATAGTTTCAGGATTAAATTATTTGTACTTTTCTTTTTACATTTTAGATTTATCAATTATTCTCATAGTTGTATTTAAAGATACTTCTTAAGTTTTAGATATTGCAGGTAGAGTTGTTTATTTTTTATCAACTTAATTTTATTATTATTATTTCTTCTATTCTTCTATTTCTTTATGAATTTAAGATAGACTCATTTAATCTTCTGTAATGAAGAATTATAAACTAGTAGTATGCATCTTTGTAGATTTGACTTCTCTATAATTAGATTTATGATTTAAATTGTTAATAGTATTGTCAGCTATTGAATTTTCTCTTTTAAATCCTTTTAAACCTTATTATTCATTTTATTATTATTTCATCAATGTCAATATTGAAGTATTTTATTCCTATTTAACAGGAATAACAGATAATTCTTTATCTTCAAAAATAGTAGAATTAACATCATCTTATTTTTAATACATCATTTTCTTCTTTAATTTAGCTTCAATAGCTATTTTTAATGCTTATTTTGTAAATGCCTTTTCTTCTTAAACACTCATATATTCTGTAGCTTTGGCAAAACATTATTTCATTTTAGCAGAATAATCACTATGAACAGATAAACAAACCCAAGGAAATTAAATCCAAATCCATCTTTTATAATAATAATCTGTTGGTTTACGTTCACTAACTAATGATTATTCTTCTAATTTTTTAATTTAAATTTAATTATGTGTTAATTTTAATTAACCAGGCTTTTTTAATTAAACATCTTCATCTTTATTTAAATCAATATCTAAATCTCTCATTGAAATTTATCCATTTTCTAATTTTTAATATATTTTAGCTTCTTCTGATTCTTTCTCTCTTTATTTTTCTTCTTAAAAACTACTTATTCCTATCTTCTCTTCAAAGAACTTTTTAACTTATTCTCTATTGTATGGAATATCAACATTTAATTTTTCTAATTTAGTTAATATTTCTGGTTTCTTCTTTTTCTCCAATAAACTTATAGTTGATTATGTTTTCTTAATATCTTCTTCTTTACCAGGTTTTTTTGTTTATTTCTAATCTTTTTATAATACTTATTTTGATTTTAATTTCTCAATCTTTTCATTAATTCTCTCTTCTGGTGATTTATAATTTTCATCATTCTTTCCTATTTTTTTAGGATTTGCATCAATTATATAACATAAATTCATTCTATAAAGTTCATTTAATAATCCAATATCATCTAATTCATCTTCTATACCTTAAATAGGTGGATGTCTAAAACTAGGAGTATGATAAGTTTCAAAATCACAAAATTCTTTTAAGAATCTTGATACTTACACAATTATTCTAAAAATATCTTCACTACTAGGATGATATTACATTGAAAAACCTTCTATAGCTTTATTATATTCAATTACTGGATCAAATCCTTATTCTTCTAATTTTTACCAATATCTACATAAATCATATTTATTATTAGGATTAAATAATAATAGAAAATTTTCAATAGCTGAAACTATTTCTTT